TGCACGCATGCACACATAGGCCACACACATTGATGTATACATATATATTACCTTCTCTCCCAGAATGTCCAAAAAAACAAAGGAAAAAACAAAGGTGTTGGAAGTACAGTGGTAGAATAATAACACAGATGAAAACAGCCATTGACAAGGATAAAGGCAGACACTAAGAAAGTGTGTCCTGAGGGAGAAAAGGCAGGTCAGCAACCGAGGAGATGCCTCAGTCCTCAAGTACTTGCCTTGTGTCCTAATTAGTTATTTTGTTAATTTGTCACAAGCTATAGTTATCTGGGAAGAGGAACCTCAACTGAGAAAATGCCTCCATCATTGCCCGTAGGCAAGTCTGTAGGACATTTTCCTGATTAGTGATTGGTTTGGGAGGCCCAGCGCACTGTGGGTGGTACCATGTCAGGGCAGAGGTCCTGGATGCTATAATCCAAGCAGGCTGAGCAAGCCATGGAAAGCAAGCCAGTGAGCAGCACCCCTCCATGGCTTCTGCTTCAGTTCCTGCTTCCAGGTTCCTGACTGGAATTCCTGCCTGACTCCCCTTGATGATGGAAAGTGATTGGGATGTGTAAGCCAAATAATCATTTTCCTCCACAAGTCTTTTTTTTTCATGGTGTGTTTCACATCAATAGAAACTCAAACTAGGTCATCTTTGAGGCACAGAGATCTGAGTCGCATCCCCAGGGACCTGTGTGTGTTGCCATGCACTTGTAATCCAGCACTTCAGGGGGAGATAGGCAGAGCCCTGGGGCTCACTGCCAGCTGGCCTAGACCATTGGTGAGTTCAGCCCAGAGAAAGACTTCCAGAGAGAGAGAGAGAGAGACAGAGACAGAGAGAGACAGAGAGAGACAGAGAGAGACAGAGAGAGAGAGACAGACACAGAGAGAGAGAGACAGAGAGAGACAGAGAGAGAGAGAGATCACCCGAAGTCTTTTTGCTTAGACACCAAAGAGAAAATTGCAAAGGAGAGTAATATTGAATTGGCTACAAAAATGAAATTGTGGAAAGAGAATTAATAAGCTAATCACAGGTTTTTTTCAATACTTGTTGCACATATTTCTCTGGGTGTGATATCTTTGTACTAAAAGAGGATATTTTGCATGGATAAAACATTTCTTTTGAGGGCTGTGGATGCAGCTCATTGGTGGAGTGCTTGCCTAGGGTGCACGAGGCCCTGAGTCCATCTCAAGCAGTAAACACAGGAGTGGTCACACACCCTTGTTATCCCAGCACTTGGCAAGTGGAGGCAGAAGAGTCAGAAGTTCAAGGTCATCGTCAGCTATATAACAAGTTTGAGGCCAGCATGGACTACATGAGATTTTTGTCTTTTAAAAAATGGAAAGAAATTAAAAATGTCTTTTTATCATTAATTTTAATATTTTAAAAACAATGGTCAGGAATATTCAGTTAGTGAACTAATTTTAAAAGTACTAATGGTAGAACTCACAGTAGAAGTGAGGTGTAACTCAATGGCAGAGCCCTTATCTAGTGTGCATATGGCCTTGGGGACCATCTGAAGTCCTGCTAAAAGAAGAAAAGCATGGTGTGTCTGCCTGAAGCAGAGAAAGGTATGGCTGCCTTAGACTGATTGACTGCGAAGCACCTAATAGACTATTGCAAAGGTCAGGAGAAATTAGGAAAGGAGGAAGAGGGAGGAGGCTGGAAGAAGAGAAGCTATTTATGGAAACATGTAGGAGAAACTTGTAGGAGACACAGGAAATGCAGATGTAAGGTGCCTGTCAGTTCTGGGTGTGGAGTTTATCCTGAACCAGCAGAGGGGAGGCGGGTGGGTCTAACCTAGAAGGGACAAACCAACTTATCACAGGCATCGCTGTAATTGGGGATGTAAATTATTTAACTATTCACTTAATATTTTATTTTCTAAAAATTTATTTTTTATTAAATTTTTGCATGCACATATTGGTACCTGAGTGTGTGTGTGTGTGTGTGTGTGTGTGTGTGTGTGTGTGTGTGTGTCTTTGTTTCTGTCTGTGTGTGAGGACCCAAAATTAAACTTGGATGTTCCTTCCTCAGATGTCATACTTCTTATTTGTAAAATAGACCACGTGAGCACTTGTAAATGCAACACTGTGGGAGAATGAGACAAGAGGATCAATGGGGTTTCACAGCTCATCAGCCTAGCCCAAAACAGTGATCTCTAGGTTCAGTGAGAGACCCTGCTCTAGGGAATGAGGTGGATCTTACTAGAGGAGGATCACTAATGTTCATACGTAGCCTTCCCAAGAACAAAAATGGGGTATATGTACACACACACACACACACACACACACACACACACACACACACAAGCATGCATGCTTGCACCATATATACACACTGCACAAAATCAAGACAGAAGGCAGGCAAATAAACAATAGTGTGAACTGGAGCAGAGGCCATGTGTCTGCTGGTTGAGAGACACTTGGAGGTAAAGGGTCCCTTTCAGGGTCTGTTCCTCACCAGAATGATCTTGAGCAGCTGTTGAAATCTGCTGGTCTCTGTGTCTCTCTGTATAATGACCATGAGAGTGCCCAGCAGTGTGACAGGTGGCTGGGGTAATGCCCACACAGTGACTAGGCTGGGCCTGTGTGCACTCTGTGTGGAAGCTGCAGTTACAGCTGCCATGGAGGAGGAGAAGTGACCAGAGAACCTGATCATGGTGCAAACATGAGGGTCTGTGTAGGAAGGTGGGGGATGGGGAGGAAGGAGGGGAAGAGGGAAATGAGAGATGGAAAAAAGAAACTGGGTCAGGGAGAGTTGAGGGATGTGTCTAGAGACTGGTGAAGTGTGGGGACCCAGAGGAGGAGGGGTACACAGGACCAGAAGGCACCTACTGTGGAAGGCACAAGATATGGTGTAAAGTCTAGATCTATCGGAGACCCTGACACAGGACCAGGTGAAGGCTGCTCCGTCCTGGAGAGGCCAGATCCACGTGGATTTGTGTCAACGAGGGTGGGGTGGGCAGGGCGGTAGTCAGTTTGGAGAAAGGAGCAGGAGACTGGGCCATCTGGGAAGAGCTGAGGCTGGGGGTGGGGTGGATCTGAGGGCAATGAGGGGCAGCTCAGAGAGAGCAGCTAAGGCTTGTGGATGGTTGTGGGGAAGAGGAAGGTGGAGTTGTCAGAGCTCTGGGGAGGGGACAGAACACATGAGAGGAATCTGTGGGAAGGAACAGAAATGTAGGATCTCTAATGACATCTGTGGTACAAGGAAGTCAGGGTCACCAAATCCTGACCTGGGATGTGCTCACCAGGAGTGATGGTGAGTTGGGTTCCATGATATGGCTGCCACCTCTCTTCATGTTTTCTTGTGTTCAGAGAAACTCGGCAGAAGTACACTGTCTGGTCCTTCTTCAAGTTCAGGATTCTAAGGATTCCGGATGTCTGAGGCTGTGTCCAGTTCAGAATGAGCCGGTTCTTGAAATGCTCATGTATAAAACCCAAAGAAGAGTTGTACATATATTCCCCATGGAAGTTCTTCCATCTCCAGTGAATCCTCATGTGTGGATCATGTGCCAACTCCCAGGGGAAGTAGAAGGAGAAGGGGATCTTGATGGAGCCGCCCTGGACACCAGAGAGGTGGGCTGGTTGGAACCCCCAAAGGGTCTTTCTCTGTTGGATTCTGCTGAGTAACCTGGGAAGGATGAGGGAGATTCTGAAGCCACTGGAGGGGATGGAAAGGACAACTCAGAGCTTCCTGAGCCATCATCCTTAGGAAGCTGTGGGACACAAGGCAGGACTGTCCCTGTGTCCCACTGTCCCATTCAGGACAGGACAGACAAGGAAGCGTTGGGCTGGACTCACTCTGAGGATGAGCTCTCTTGGGGCACAGAGCACTGGCTGGCTCCTCCAGCAGACCCCTGTCCACATGACAGCCTGCTCTTCCCAGCGCCACTGGCCCCTCCTGTGGTTAGGGCAGAGTCCCTGCTAACAAGGTCCCCACCACTCACCAGCTTGCAGACATGCAGCTGACATCAGCAGAAGCAGGATCCAAGCCATGGCCTGATTTCCTCCAGGAAGTGAGACCAGCAGAGCCATCAGGAAGGAGAGGAGCCCTGTGCAGGGACCCTGGGGTGCTCAGGAGTCAGGAAGAATCGGGGTAAAATGACCCACATACACAGAGGCTTCTCATGTGGGGGACATGAGTGGGGCAGGACCTCCCCATCTCCACCTCCTTATGACCAGCAACTTCCTTCATCATTCTGGCTTCTTCTTTCCCATGCTGCAGAAGATCCGCCCTGTGGTCACTGACAGGATGGCCGGGCCCTTGAGCCCAGATCCCATTGTTGCCAGAAAGATACGGAACTGACCTCACCAGGCCGGGCTCTCCTCTCTTCCACCTTGACCTCCTGTCTTGTCCAGTCTTGTCCATTTCCCATGTGGCCTGTAATCACTGTTTCCTCACCTCCACATTTCCTCCACTCCTGCCCTCCCCCTCCTCATCTGTTTCTTATTATGTATCCCACCATACTGGTTGTCTGTCTGTCTGTCTGTCTGTCTGTCTAATAACTTCAGGCACAGAAGTGGTCAGTTTCTGCTCACTTTAGACACAGCGAGGATGGAGGTGATGAGGAAACACATTCAGTCCCAGCCCTAGCTCAGTGTCCCCACCACCATCTGCTCTTTGTCCTCTTCTGTACTAACTTTCATGTCCCTGTGGCACCCTGCATTCTCTGAAGGGTGTAGGAGGATGGGGACAACAGCAGGACCCAGGCCTGGGGAACCTTCAGAAAAGCATGTCTGTGAGTCCTGGCTCCCCGATGTCCTGGGAGCGACATGGCCTTAGGAAAGCATTGTGACCATCTGGTGTTTAGTTCCCTGTCTCACACCATCTATCTAGGGTTGTTGCTGATGTCCAGTGTGGTGGTCCATGGGAACTAATCACAGAGTGTGCTGGTTATTACCCTCCCAGATGTGGGTGTACATCTTGTAGACTGGCTGCCAGCATTAGAAGCATCCCCTGACTTGAGGAGTTAGAAAAAAAATGTTAGAGGAGGAGATCTTAGAGGGCCAGAAGTAAAAAGTCACATTAGTTACTCTTAGTTAGATTCATTTAGGCAAATTCTTTAGATTGTTTTATTTGTGAGAAAGGTCTAGGAAGTTAGAAAAAGGAACTGGAATTTCTATTTTTCTCTGAGCTCAAACGCCCTGACACGTGGATTTCTGTCTCTGGCCATGGGTATCAGTGACCCATGAGATTTTGTCTCTGGCTGTGGGTATCAGTGGAAGCTGGGAGTCTTCCTACTAGAAGCACAGGTGACTTTGAGATCGTCACCCAGACCCACTCATTTGGTCTTTACGATGGAGTACACAGTCTCTTCCTGGGGGTCTTCATGGACGGGCTGGCAGGGTGGTGTTCCTGGGGAAGCTGGGCTTGAGCGGGCAATGGAGGCGTACACGATGTTGTTATCCTGTGGGGACAAGAGGTTGGATGGCAGCAGTGCATCTGTGGCCACCATAAAGCAGCAGCTGCAGCCTGAGTGTCCTGCCCACACCTGCAGCAGCTGCAGCCTGAGTGTCCTG